CTTCGGGGTCCCGGGGGATTGGGGAGAAGCATCTCAGGTACCCATGGGCTCCCTCAACGAGAGGCTGGGGCAGCGTCACCACGGAGTGGTGATGCACGGTGGTTCATATGGCCAAGAGAAGGTGGTTTCCACCACCTCAGTCCTCAAAGCAAGCAGTAGAAACAGCAGACCACAGGGCATGGGTCATCTGAGAGCTCTTCTGCTCCCTGCATCACTGTGCGGACAAGAAGGGCGCGCAACCCTGGGGAGATGCAGCCTCCGCCGGCGGCGCAGCTCAGCTCACCGAGAGGGTCCCCAGCGACGATGCTGTACTCCACCTGCCCGCTGGGCCCCGAGTCCCCATCGTGGGCCAGGAAGGTCCACACGCGGGGACCTGGCTGCCCTTCCGTGATGTCGAAGGGTCCCTCATAGGGCCGCGGGAAGGTGGGTTGGTTGTCGTTGATGTCGTTGAGGTTCACCAACACCTGCAGGCAAGGCGCAGGGATATGTTTTATCCAGAGGCCTCTCGCACTGGTACCTCTTTTGTCTGCCCACAAGAACTTATCTTCTTTTGGAGGACTAGAAAACACTTAGCTTAGTATCTATGTGAAACTTAACAGCCCACGAGAAGAAGCCATAGAAGATCTAACAGGTCCTTTCTATTTGCAAGCTCTGAAACCATGCTTGACGCGGGCAACATCTGTTATGTGACATTGATTTTTGGTGTAGTCCCCCAGAACAATCCATGCATTCAAATCCCATAAAATATTGGCTTTGGGGTAGCTACTACCCTGCTCTCCACGCTTTGAACAGAGCTCTTAGTTCAGGACATTGCAGGGTGTCGGAGATGGAAGTGCTGCAGAGAAAAGAAGCCAATACTGGCGGAAAACTAGATGTGTGCATGGGAGCTGGTCAATGCTGACCAGTGCCTCTGTGTTTTGCAACCTGGAGTAGGGCTGCAGCCTCTGGGCAGCTGGGAAAAGCAGCCACTGACCCCAGGGAAGGAGATGTGAAACTGCTCTCTGGAGGGGAACTCTGAGACCCTGAAGATGTCAACATGCTGCAACCACTCCGGCTCCCTACCGTGGTGGTGGATGTCAGGCGTCGCGAGATGATGGGACACTGGTCAGTGGCAGTGATGATCAAGGTGTAGCGCCCGTGGCTGATCTCGTAGTCCAGCTCCTTCATAGTGCGGATCCGCCCCTACAAGAGAAGGCCGGTGCGGAGAGAGTCAGGGGGGCACGTGGCGGGGTTGAGTGGGATGTTAGTGCCCAGTGTCCTTACTGACCGTGGCATTGTCAATGTGGAAGGTGTCCAAGATGTTGCCTTCAGTGATGGTGTAGGCGATGGTGCCGTTGGGCCCTTCGTCCTGGTCACGGGCCTGCACGGTGATGAGGGTGGCGTTGAGCGTCGCGGGGCCCTCGTCCAGTGTAACCTCGTAGAGAGACTTCTCGAAGGTGGGAGTGTTGTCGTTCTCGTCCAGGACCGTGACATGCACTGTGGTGGTGGCCTGCAGAATATGGAGGAAACGCAGCATGCGGGGAACGTGCCAAGGCGGTGCCAGGAGTTGTTGGGAAGAAAGCGGGCTGTGGTTCCAGGCACACTCCCAACACAAGGCACCTCCAGGTAGCACCTGGGTGCAGCCACTGGCTTATGGAGATGGCTGATGCTCCCAAGCAAAGCACATCTCCATGGCAAGGATCCCTCTTTCTGCCCTGTTTTTATCCTTGCAGACAACCAGCGTCATCGAGAACCAGTGAGAACCCAGGGATTTATCCACTTGATGACCCATGTTCTCAGGTGAGGAGGCCTCACCACGACCGATATTCATGACCAAGCAACACGTCGGCCGTCACGGGTGCATGCGCCGGGCGAGGGAGCACCCTCCCGCCCGCGGCGGCTGCAATCCAGCTGCTGCTCCAGATGTGCCGGCCCCCGCGCCAGCTCCTTCCCCCCTCTCACCTCCTGGGGGTGCTCGCAGGTCTCGCCGGCAGCTCCGGCTCTGGGAAATTTCCTGCGCGCTCCGGGCAGCTCAGTGTGCGCGGGAGGCTCGGCGGAGGCGCAGCGGCCGGCGAGG